TTAACTCTAAGGGTAAAAAGATGCATTCTCAGAGGAGACATGTTCAGTCATAAACCCATATTTGGGAGATAGCTCCCCAACTACATTCTTCTATATCTTAAGAGAGCAGGTACCAGCTCTTTGAGTAGGGTAAAACAACTGAATTGGGAGAACAAGAGCATCTTGGCCCCCAGTGCCTTGACTGACCTTGGTTCCACATGCCAAATGATATACATTATAAAACAAGGTCCTAGTCTGGGCATCTCAGAAAAAGCCCATCTGACCTTTGAAGCAAGACCTGTCCCACAGCAGTCCACAGTGGGGTCTAGCCCTCAGATGTGCCTCCCTCTCCCATTGTGTTTGCAGTCTCCTTTGTAGTGAGTTGTCTGACTTCCTGGAATAATGGAGGCACTGGGAGTCTGAAGGAAAGCGGGATTTCACGCCCATTTCACTTCTCTCAGGAGAGAGAAATCAGTTTTTCTTCCTGGAACTCCACCCTTTGTCCTTGTTCTGTTTGTGTTTCGGAGCCAGGTTTTCTTCCTCATTCCTCCTCACCACTCTGCTGGGAACCTTGCTGGTCCTTTGAAGAGCTGAGCCTAATAGATTTAGATAAGACCCTGGGGAGTGTCTGACCTACCTTCCCACAACCAAGGAACATTGTACTTTCTGCATAGATCATTGATTTTCTACTCTCTAAACTCTTAGGTTCCTTCCAGGAACAGAAACCTAGTAGACCTTGCTCTATCTGACCTTTTTACTGGGTGGACACTGCCAGGAGCTTTTGATACCTTAGCTTAAGTGTCTCCAAATACCCACCTTTGAGGTAATACTTCTTCTAACATCTAAACACTGGATCTCAGATCATCCACAACCACCCCCAACCACACCTAACAATCAGCATAAACTAGGCGTACAGATGTTAAGATTGTTGCCTAACAATAATTAAAACTTTGTCCTCCAAACTCCAAGTTTCAAACAAGTTGTGACTCCCCAAAATACAGAAGATAGTCAACCAGACATCCAAGGAACAATCTTCTCTGAGCATCTGCCTCTTAGCCCAAGTCCCTGGAGGACGGAACACAAACAGGACAATAAAATAAGAAAGCAGGGCCCTCCCTGGTGGCGCAGCGGGTTAAAGCACAGCACTAAGAAGCTAAAGCCACTTCCGCATGAGTTTGATCCCCACCTACCCCGGAGGTGATCCACATGGCGTGGCAGACCTCTCCTGACTTGCCCGCTGCTCCCCTCAGCAGTGTACTTCGTTGATCTGCCTGTTCTGCTCCCCTCTCTGTCTTGGGTGAATCCTCTCACCCTCCACATCTCTGGCCTGTACCCCAGTTCCATATGAATAAATAAATAAATCTTTTTTAAAAAAATATGAAAGCAGCTTTCCAAGCAGGAAAGAAGTGAAAAACAAATGCAGGATTAGGTATGTCAGTGGATGTTTATCAAGTGTATTTGTAGCCTGTTCATTCAATGAAGTATTTCACTTATTCTTTGTAGAAATCTATTTGTATTGTTCTGCTCCTCCAGAGTAAGAGAATAGGTATTTTGTTTGTTTGTTTTTTGTTGTTGTTGTTTTACATCATTCTTCCTTTTGTACATTTTTTCTAAACTATAATCCCCCTGGGGTTCCCACCATCAATTCACCCTTGTGCCATCACCACAGTCCGGGTTGTTCTTCCCGCCCCAGTTTTGATGCTGCTCCCTTTTCCACTCCTGTAGAATGTCTCTTGTTTATAGTTTTTATTGATTTTAGTTTTTACTGTATTACCATTAGTTTTTTTTTTTTTCTGATTCCTTACACTCCTGCTATGAGTGAAAACATCCTGTAATTTTCTTTTTCCTTCTGGCTTATTTTACTAAGTATGATCCCTTCCAGCTCCATCCATTTGGCTGCAAAATGCATAAGTTTATTTTCTTGATTGCTGAGTAATATTCCATTGTGTATATGTACCACATCTTCTTGATCCGGTCATATATTTTTGGGCATTTGGGTTGATTCCACAGAGAACAGGTATTTTTTTTTTAAGATTTATTTATTTATTCATACAGAACTGGGGTACAGGCCAGAGATGCGGAGGGTGAGAGGCTTCACCGGAGACAGAGTGGGGAGCAGGACAGGCAGATCGACGAAGTACACTGCTGAGGGGAGCAGCGGGCGGGTCAGGAGAGGTCTGCCACGCCATGTGGATCTCCTCCCGGGCAGGCGGGGATCGAACTCATGCGGAAGTGGCTTAAGCTTCTCAGTGCAGTGCTTTAACCCGCTGCGCCACCAGGGAGGGCCCAGAGAACAGGTATGTTTTTAATGATCATCACAAAAATGTTGCAATTATTAGCTTCAAGAATCCTATTGTAAGCATATTACAAATGATCAGGGACTGCCTGACCTCCCCCCCACCCCTGGGCTAGCAGGCAAGAAAGCAAAGCCATCTATCTACATAGACTTCAAATCAAAACAGCTCTGTCCTGTGCTGATTCCTGTCCTGAATCAGCCTTGTAAGAATTTGATGCCTGTGAGTAAACCAATCTTTCACCCACTACTGATGACCAGGGAACCAACTAAAGACGATTGTAACAATGGAAACCTAGTCTTTGTGTTTCCACAGCACATTGTTAAAAAATCAGAAAAATGATTAAACCCTAGCCTTTGTTATCCTCTGCACAAAAATAGCACTGACACTTCATTAGGTGAAGATAATAGGAAATTAAAAGATCTAGACCTGTAACTAAAAACAAGAAACCCCTATCGAGAATAATAACATTTCTATGATCAATGACACACTGTTCCTTTACTTCTACAAGTATGCTACTCTCTAACAAGGCATATAAACTGCACTCAAATTTGGGTTGTCAGAGCATTCCTCAGAGTAAACTCTGCCAAATTTTCCCAGGTTCTAATGCTCATCTTGATTTTCTAATAAACTCTTTATCTAACTATCATTGAGACTTTTATTGCAGTTAACACTATGAAAGATTTGCAGGGTTTGCAGGCCATGAGAACCAGCAAGCAGGTCAGCACTCAGAGAAGCAGACTGCAGGTGTGCGCATTGTGACCTGAGACACAGCAACTTCGTCTTCCCAACAATGCGAGAACAGTTCAGACACAAACAGCGATTTTTCATCTGATGTCACCTACCTGCTATCATTATAGGGATTCAAGCCTTGCTGCTGGTAGGACCCTGCATAACATTTGATCCACACTCACCCATTATATTCAACAAGCAATGGCATTTAAATCATAAGACTGCCATCCCACAGGTGGTCACAGTTGAACCTTTGTAGAATTCAAATGCAGTGAACATTCCCAGGCCCTAGTGCAAAGGTGAATTGCTAGGTGGGTGAACATGGGAGGGGGTGTGTGGGGGCTGCTGCCCCAATTCAGTGTGTTATCTCCCCCTTGATATTTCTGGTGGGATCCATGCTCAGGCCAGCAATTGCTGAATGACCTGGGGCAGATTACTTACTTTTCTAAGCCTCAGTTTTCTTATCTGGCTAGTGGGAATCATCATCACAGAATTGTTGCAAGAAATAATTGAGTCCTTTAGCTGAAGCACTGAGCACCACGCCTAGTTCATTATGAACAATGGATTGATCACTGGTAACCAATGAAAACAGTAATTATTTTTGTTTCTCTTGTTAAAGTCCTATGGACTTACCTCATGTGGTAAAGCTACCCATCTGACCCAGTGATAAGGAGCTAGAAAACTGCATTCTAGTTCTGGTCTTCTGCTAATGATTTCAGTGTTTGTTCTTGGATAAATTATTTCATCTTTGCAGAATCAAGTTAAACTCAGTCTGCTTTTTTTTTTTTTTTTTAAGATTTGTATTCATGCATACAGAACCAGGGTACAGGCCAGAGGTGCAAGGGCAGTGAGAGTGGGGAGCAGAACATTCCAACTGACGAAGTACTGCTGAGTACTGCTGAGGGGAGCAGTGGGCAGGTCAGGAGAGGTCTACTGCGCCATGTGGATCACCTCTGGGGCAGGGATCACACTCATGCTGGAGTGGCTTTAGCTTCTTAGTGCTGTGCTTTAACCTGCTGTGCCACCAGGGAGGGTCCTCAGTCTACTTTTTTATTATTTCTACATACACCTATGTCCTAAATAAATTCTGGTTATTGTTGAATTTTAATAATATGGAAGGTATTTCAACTAAGTGTGTGTTCATCAGGTATTGTGTCCAAAGGGACATTAATTTGCAGCTATACATTTCCCCTCAGACAAAAGAGGACTCGTCTATATGCATAACTTAGGAAGTTCATGCTCTAGCACAATCTGTTTCTCTAGTCTCTGTAGCATGACACATTCCTGCATTTGAGGCATAGATTCAGAGTAAACATGGGAACATAAAATTATAAAGATCAGAAAACAGAATTTAAATGTCATTCTCTATGATCACAGGGAGCTTTTATTTGTATTTAAATTTTTTCTCAGTGCTGCACTGGGGTACCAGGAAGGTGAGGAGAAGGAACACATGTCCTGTGTGGCCACAGTCCCAGTCACAGCACAGCATTTCCATTACACCCCTCAGTGAAGAACCATAGGATGTTGCACTGTTCTCTTTCCGGCCTTTTTGTATGTTTTAGGATTATTTATTTGTTGCTCAATAAATATTTGTAATTTTTTGCACTTTTCTGTGCATCTTCATTTTTTTTACATGGAACAAATAATGTGCTGAATGAGGTCTCCCATCACTCATTGAGAAGACATGTCTGGGTAATTTGATTGTGGCAAGTAAAATGTATTTTCTCATAGAATGCATTTATATAGCAGACAAGGTAGGGAAATCCTTTGAAAGATAAATATATTGGGTGTTTTCTGCCAATAAGGACAAAAGACTTCCTTGTTATCATTAGTGAAAACTAACATAGACATAAAATTCTGTAGACATTAAAAGAAAGAAAACAGTCCCATGAGTCATCTATTTCACATGCAGTACTGGAAAGCTATATAAGTCTCTGCCTCTGGCAAAGCGCACACACCAACCCTTGATCAGACAGCTGGCTCTGGAAGGCAGCGATGCAACTGGCCACACTGTGTGCTGTGTGTCTGCTGCCCAGCACCCTGGCGCTGCCACTGCCCCAAAGGGCAGGAGGCTGGAGTGAGCTGCAGTGGGAACAGGCTCAGGTATGTCATGGCCCCACTTGCCTGGGGCGCCCCAGTCTCATCGTCAGTATTAAGAAGTCACCTGGGTAAATTTTTTCACCTTAGTAATTTTTTTCTCATTATAAAAGCAATGTATGTTTTAATCAGGTAGCTATTAGGAGCAGAGTCTTGCTCAAACCAGGGTCAATATCAAACTGCCCTGCTCACTGCCTAGATGAACATAGGCAATATCAGCTTTCTCTGAGCTTCATTTTCTAACCTGAAATTTAAAGATAATAATGGTATCAGTCAAATGGGGGTATTGGGGAGTTCTGAACAGAGTGCATGAAACATCCTTCATACCCTATATTGAAGTTGTTACTGTTATTACTTAATGTAACTTGAGGTTCTTTTCACAAAGAACAGAGTGCTGCTTTTTAAGATGAAGGGCCAATTGAGAAGGAGACACTTGAAATTAGAAAAGCAAGGGTGGAAGTTACAGCTTCCTACCTGCAAGCCATGTGATATACAAGGCACGCTTTCTTATGTGTCAAATGGAAATAGTAATGCTATATGTTGTGTATTTCTCAGGAGTAGTCTAGTGAATAAATAAAGTGATAATACCACTATCATGAATGGAACAACTGAATGCTCAGCTCCATCCTGGGAAAAAGAAGAAATCAAAGTTCAGCTGATTCTCATACTTGTTAGTGGCAGAGATAGACATCAAGGACAAGCTTCAGAAAGACTAGCTTTCCAATATATTGTTTAATACGTAGCCAAATGAATATATGTAATTATTTGGTAAAATAAGGGGCTATTTACTCCTAACTATTGTTTATACTAAAATACAAGCTATATGCGTAAAAGAGGAGTTTTGTTTCATTTTGACTTTTAAAAATCTCAGTGACGTTAGTGAAACCATATAAAATTAATGATGTTTGTTTTTTTGTAACCTCCACAACAACAGTTTCCTATGGTTTCACTTAGCCATCTCCCCAGGAGTACATTTGCAAGAGTGTTTAGTCCCTTTACTTAGCTTGTACATTGTCAGAATAGGAACCTTAACTAGGTATAATGGAAGGCAGGAAAATTTTCTCAAGAATGCAGAGATTTCTTCCAGAGAATGTCTTTGTAAAGACGGTAGTTCTAGAAGGGATGAGAGAAGCTATCTGTTTTTAACTAAGGGGTTAATTACTAATTGTCAAGAAGTTATTGTTGTAAATGAAACAGTCATTAGTAACAGGAAGAGAGAGCAGGTATCGCTGAGGTGATTTATATCAAGTGAAAACTCCCGAGAGGTTCCTAGATGAGACATCATTACCACCTGCTCCAAACTAGATAGCAAATGAGTGGGCCAATGTTTGGAACATTTCAACAATTCTATCCTCTACCATAACCTGGACATTTTTCTAATGAAATGGCCTTTGCAATTAGAATACAATTTCAAAGACTGTCTCTTCGTTACTTATAGGGTTGCCTAGGGCAGGTCATCTCCTTTCTCTGAGCTATGTTTCACACTATGTGAATGGAAATAAAGCTCTTTCTACTGCATCAGGTGCTTCTGAAGCTTAAATGAGTATGTAAAGCCTCTAGTAAAGAACCTGGCATATGTGAGAATTTAATAAACATTCCTGTGAGGCTGCTGCTATTATTTTGTCCACCAGGTTTTTTTGTTTGTTTTCCTCTCTAGGCTGCAGTGTAACTATCTTCATATCCAGGAATTAGAGTCCTTTAAGAAATTTCCGGAGAGCTAATTAACTACACCTGGATAGATGTGGCAGCCCTGCTTTTTCCTGCAGTCTCGTGAAATAGGTTTTACTTGAGATTTTTACAGTGGAAAGAGCACAGAACCAATAATTAGGACACAAGAACCAATCTGCTACTAATTTAAAGTGTGATCCTGGAAAATCATTTAGCTTTATTTTCTTCACCTGGAAATTATATACATGAAAATAAGTCAATTTTGTAATCTTCCTGAGGAGACCTCAGAAAGACCATTACAGGGGTGTAGGTAGCTTTGACTACCTCACTGAGCCTCTGAGAAGTGAAGATTTCAGTTGAGCCCTTAAGGACACACCAGGAGTTTTTTCTGAGTGACTGGTAAAAACAAATGCATGTTTTAAAATTGTTCAGAGGCCTACTCAAAACATTTAATGGCATACAAGAGAAAAAGAAGGGTTCTTCTATTTAGCTTATAAAATAGAATAGCAATACTTCATTATAAGCATTAAATTTTCTCTTCACTAATACAAACTTATTTAAGTTGGGGCCTGTGTAACTTTTGTCTTCAAACCACTATTTGGAGACACAGGAATCGTAGGCAAAGATATACAAAGTTCTGAAATAAAAAGTCAATAAACAAAAATTACAGATCAATTACTCTTTTTCCCCATAGAATTACCTCAAGAGATTTTACCCATCTGGTTCAAAAATAAAAGATGCCAACAATTTAGAAGCACAACTCAAGAAAATGCAAAAATTCTTCCACCTGCCTGTAACTGGAACCTTAAACTCCTATATCCTAGAAATCATGAAAAAGCCCAGATGTGGAATGCCAGATGTTGCAGAATACAAACTATCCCCAGGCAGACCAAAGTGGAATTCCAAAGTAATCACCTACAGGTTAGTTTTATTTTGTCTCATTTGGTAAAAATAATAAAACCCTCTTCTTAACAGGTCAGATATTATATCTTTTTGCTTGCAGGCTTGCATCATATACTGAAGATTTACCACGTGATACAGTGAATCAGTTAATAGAAAAGGCCTTCAGGATGTGGAGCAAAGAGGTCCCACTGAGCTTCAGGAGAGTGAAATGGGGAATTGCTGACATCATGATTAGTTTTGTAAGAACAGGTAAGGAAGTTTCCTGCAGGCTTACCCTCTGTGCTATTTTGTTTGTTGTTTATATTGCCCACTTTGTTTCAGAATGTTAAATATTTTTTATGTATGTGTGTGGTGTATTTAAACAAGTATATATGCACACAGCAATATTACATCTTTTTTTCTAGTCTCTTAATTTAGGGTCCCTTTATATAGCAGAGGACAGCAAACTATGGCCTATGAAGAAAATCCACAATAATGCATTTCTTTTAAAAATACTTATTAAAATTCAGTCATGGCTATTCAATTACCTATTGTCTATGATGGCTTTTGGGGCTACAATGCAGAAATGAGTAACTGTGACAGTGACCATCAAACCCCCAAACCCTAACTTCTTATCTGGCCCTTTATTGAAAATGATGGCCAGACCCTGTTTTGTAGTATGTAGGGAGAGAGAGAGAGAGTGAGGGAGAGAGAGAGAGAGTCTATCATGGGACAATTTAAAACATACCTACCTAAATATCAACATAAAACCAGAAGAAAGGGTTCCATTACCAAGGGCCTCAAGTGGCCTCCAAGAAAAGGGCCAGTCCCTGTGGCCTGTGACCAGCACATATCAGGTAGTCACAGGGTAGAAAGTAGAGAAGGCTCCTGTTAAAGGACTTAAGGAGCTATAACCATGAGCTGCTGTCAGCTGCTAGTGTTTCATGATGCAAACTTATAGGGAAAATACTGATTATTTTGGTCTGTTCTACTATTGAATGGCCTGGGTGCTGTGAATTTAGCTGAAATATAAACTTCAGCCACAAAATTAACAATGCTAAGCAAAATGATCAGAAAACACTGACCATGGCTCCCTGTTCTTCACAAACTGGGTAAACAGGAAGTAGCCTGATACCAATCTGAAAATCTATAGCACACAACTAAAAGCACTATCAGTGCAATTGTAACTGAAGCATCAATCTCTAGTCAAGAGACTGTCTATTGTACACACAAAGAGTAAGCTAGGATTTTAAGAAAAATGACACCAACTAATACATGTTACTAAATTGTTCTCCATCTTGCCACTGTCTGGCCAAACAAAGCATTCAGATTGAGGGCCCTCGTGGCACATTAGGTTAAAGTGCAGCACTGTGAAGCTAGCTGCTTCAGTGAGAAGGGGGTTCAATCCCCTGCCCAGGAGGTAACCCACATGGCCCAGCAGACCTCTCCCGTCTCTCCCGCTGCTCCCCTCAGCAGTGTACTTCATCCATCTGCCTGTTTTACTCCCCACTCTGCCTCTGGTGAATCCTCTCACTGTCCCTGTTCTTCTGACCTGTGCCCCAGTTCTGTATGCATAAATAATCTATGAAAACACAAACACAAGGCATTCAAATTCAGCATATATGCAACCATAAATTATATAGCAGTGTATTAAAATTCCACAACCAGTAAGCTTTCAGTGTATGATAATTACCAACTTCAAGGAAAGAAATAGTGCCAGTAGCAGAGCCATAGCCAGAGCACCCCAGATGTGCGGCTGGCTGCTTGTGACAATAAAGCTGACTGCTTGGACCACACTGATGTTTCAGTAATCATATGAATGAAAGATAAAGGAACTGAAGGTAAATTCAGACAGTGGGCACCATCGTCCTGTTTTCATTCAGAACACGGAGACCTGTATCCTTTTGATGGACCAGGAAACACGCTGGCCCATGCCTATTACCCAGGGCCAGGCTTGGGAGGAGATGTGCACTTTGACAAGGATGAGCACTGGACCAGTGGCAGAACCTCAGGTACTGCATCCCCTGTCTCCACTGAATTTCCAAACTTCTTGAACCAACTTTAATTTGAAAATTGTCTTAATTAGTAGTAATTATCCAGCCTTTGATCACTACCAACCATTGTACTGTACTTTTTTTTTGTTTGATACTCTATTTCAAATGCACTCTTTCATTTAATGCTACATTTACAGTTGACCAACAGGGAGGTTAAGGTTGTCAATGTCCAAGCTGTCAGAAATCCAAGTATAAATTTGGACTCCTTAAAACCTAACTACTGTGGACTAGAAATCTTGCCAGTAACAAAGTGTTAACACATGATATGCTATATTCTATATAGTGTTCTTACAACACAGTAAGCTAGGGAAAAGAAAGTGCTACTAAGGGAATCATACGGGAGAGAAAATATATTTACATATTTACTGAAAAATAAGTCCGTGTTAAGTGGACTCTAGCAGTTCAAACCCATGTTATTCGAAGATCAGTTGTTAGAAGAATTCAGGGTCCGAAGACAGAAGCTCTAAGTCAAGTATTGATACACTTTGTTGTCCCTCTACTGGTTACGAGCTGAGAGCCAGTGGTCAAGTTACTGAGTTATTGAACTCCTCTGAACCTCAGTTTTCTCATTTAAAAATGGGACTAGTCCCACTTCCCAAGACTGTTGATTGAATTAAATGAGACACAACTTGAATGAAATAAGAGACCACTCACAGTGCTTGGGATTTATTAATAATTCAACAATTTATAATAACTTAAAAAAGTATAGTCCTATCTTTGTATTACCCCAAAGTAAGTTTTTTAATTGGAGGAGAAAGAAGATCCATGGCTATGATATTTAAGTCTTATAAACAATTCTGAGATCAAACAACCTATATCGTAACTCATGCCATTACACAAATTTTCTTACATAGCAGCAAATTACAGAGACATCAGAAAACTAATGGAAGGAATCTGTGGGATAAGCAATTCTAATTGGAGGCAATTTTGAAAACAAAAAAACAAAGATAGCTACTAATAGACCTTGAAAGGAAAATTGTACTTGTGTTTGGTATTTGGAATTTACCAGCAGTTATGCCTTGCTGTGAAAGTCTAACCTTTGTAAAAATCACGACAAAGCCTTCCTTTCATATTTTGCAAACCCTTTTCATTATCCTTTCTTCCCACTCAAGTTGGCCAAAGACAACTTCCTTTAATGGAATGCACCACAATTACTACTGGCCACTCCTCCAACTCATAGGTTTACACCCTATCCCTTATTTGCAAAGCCTTTCTATGTATCTGAGGGACAGAAGATGACTGAGGAAATCCAATTCAATAGTCAAACTCAGCATTGCCCAGAGAGCCCACCATTTGCTTCCTCAGTATTCTCTCTCCTGACACTCAAAATCACTATCAGTTATTGAACAGTGGAGTTTTTCAGATATTGCAGAACAAATTATTATGACAAATCTGAATGGTGGATATCATTATCTCCATTTAACAAATGAGGAACTGAAACTCAGTAATACAATTAATTTCTCCAGAATGCTCTAGCTAGTAAGCAGCAGATCTGTATTTCAGACCCAACTCTTATGATGTCTAAAGCCTTTGCTTTCCACTACAAAATACTGCTATCTGATGATTCTATTAAGAGATAGAAAACATTACTTTAAAAAAAAGCAGAAGTTGCATTAAAACACTTTGATTCTCCTTCTATATCCTGCTCACTTTACAACAAGTAAGAAACAAGTAAACTAGAGGGGATTTGAAGAGTTCATGTTTTTATAAGTACTTTATCTTTTATTATTACATATTATTTACATAATTTTTATAGTTACTGGATGTCATTCTTCAGTTTTAGGAATTAACTTACTCTATGTTGCAACTCATGAACTCGGCCATTCTTTGGGTCTGAGTCATTCTTCTGATCCAAATGCTGTGATGTACCCAGCTTACGAATATGGAAAATCGGAGGATTTCAAGCTTTCCCGGGATGATGTCAAAAACATTCAGGAATTATATGGTAATATTGATTATCTCAAATTTGGGGGATTTCACATTGTCTCCATCGGGTCAGATTAGATGAAAAAGGCTGAGAAATAGATTTTTTTTTACCTGGAAAAATAGAGCAGAACTTGTTTTTTTGGAACATATGTTGTGTTTAAGGATTAGAATAAGTAATATTATTAATATACCCACACTCTCTAAAGTCATTCATAGATGAACTGTTATTCCTGTTGGAATATGGTAGCATTTTTTGGCAGATACAGAAAAAAAAAAGGATAAAACTATGAAAGACTGAGAAGGCAAGATAATGTTGAGAATTCACACATCCTGATTTTAAACTATACTACCTTTGTAAAAACTATAATACAAAGTTATGTACAAAGTTATATCAAAGAATGTGACAAAATAAACATGTAGGTCAAAAAAATAGAATCAAGAGCCTAGAAATAAACCCAAACATATCTAGTTAATAAATATTGGCAAGTGAGTCAAAATCTTCAACAGATAATATTAAGAAAACCAGATATTCACAAGCAAAAGAATGAAATCTTACACTACTCACAAAATGGAATAGTCTATCACTCTAACAGGTAAATAGAAGTTTTTTATTTATGGAAGTTTGTTGAAGGAAGAAACTTGAGGCCTTAGCTACTCAAATTTTAACTAAGCTGTGTTATACCTTGAGAATACTGCTGTTAAGCTTTCTTTAATACAGTATCACTTTATAAAGTTATTAAAATGACACTCTTGAGTCCTCCCCGGTAGTGCAAGGGATTGAAACATAGCACTGTCTTGGTGTGACAGACCTCTCCTGACACGCCCACTGCTCCCCTCAGCAGTGTATTTCAGTAGAGCTGCCTGTTCTTCTCCCTACTCTGTCTCTGGTGAATCCTCTCACCCCCAACACCTCTTGCCTGTACCCCAGTTCTTGTAACCATAAATAAATAAATATTTAAAATATAATAAATGAAATGACACTACTAAGGGCCATTTACTATTCTTCCATACTCAGTTCAGATATGTTAGGAGAGTCTCTCGCTGTAGGAATAGCCTGAGAAACATAACACCGTCCTCCCAAAATGACCACTCCTAAGTTTGCAGCCCTCTTTTTCCTTCTTGCATGTCTGTGAGAATTAGAGTCTAGCCATGACATTGGGGGTCATGTCACTTATAAATATTCATATCCTAACCTATACTTTTTTGTTTACTCAAGTTCAAAATTTAGTTTAAAAGAATAAACTGGTTTGTATTTGCTTGATAAAGTCAGTCAGAAATAATAATGTGAGAAAAGAATCAAAAGACAAGGGTAGGGGTTTGGGGAGCCATGTGTATAGATAAAGATGACCCAAAAGAGGCTAAATAGTGTTGTCTGGATTCATGTGACTGCCAAGAGCTTCCACAGTGGTTAGAAGGCTGGGCTGTGTGAAGGCATGCTCTTCCAGCAACACAGCCCACCTCTCACTACTCAGTAAGTGTTTGAAAGAAGCTGGAAAAGAGAATGAGAATGCTGCATTAAGTCCACAGATGCAATTAAATTTTCCAGTCGAATACAGGATGGTTAAAAACAATTTTAAAAGATCACATAAGAGACTTAGGAAGGCTAGTATGTAAAGAGACAGCTTCCATATCATAATGTACACCGAGGAAATTCTTCCTACAGGATAACTGATTTAAGCTATCAGCTGAACCTAGAAGTTACTTTCAGTCAGTCCCAAAGTGTGTTCCTAGAACTCTAGCTGTAAAAGACAATTCCCCAAAACAAATGCTATGGAGAATTAAGTTCAAGAAACACAACCTACAGCGTCTTGGGTGCACCAGATACTAAGAAGTAGCTTGCAAATTCTTGTCAACTCAGTGTTTACTAAATTACAGTCCTTTTAGTGGCTCCATTGAACCCCCACAGAACAGCATTTCAGAAGGCACTTTGGAACATACTGAACAGCTGCAGCTGACTGTTGGGAAGAGCAGCTGCTGAAACACAAAGAGAACTAGAAATCCACTAAAGATAGAGAACCAGAAAAATTGTTTCTATGTCCTTCATGTCAGTTTAGCTTGTCTGTATGGATTTCAGTCTCTGACATTCCATACTACTCCCATCCACTTATGCCTGTCACCTAAGTACAGAAGAACCCAGCAAGATTACCTTTACCACTGCTGCTTAAAGAAGATTTCATTTCCCATATGTGCCTGGTCAACAGCGTTAAGAACAGAATCTTAATTTTCCTTCTTTGCAGATTCTGACTCAGTTGGCTTAGAATGAAACACAGGTGATTCTTTTCATCAGCAATGTTTGGGAAACATGCCAAGTGGGATGAGCGGAGGATGTCCTCTTTTCAGGGACAGTAAAGGATGTATCTAAGTGTGCCATGTGTCTCTTGCAAAGCCAGGGAAGTCTGGGTATTGTCAGAAAAGTTTTTCTCACCTCCATAACCAAATACTAGTTCTCAAGCAAAAAGAAAAAAAAATTCAACGATAAAGAAAAAAAGGAGGGTGCAGTTGTCAAATAATCTACCATTGGTAATTACCAACAAAGCAAAATATTACCCTCTCTTATATGACATTGTGGATACTGTACAGTAGCTACATCTTGGAGATTTTAGACTATTTGAAAGGAAAAGGTTTAATTATAAAGGTTATAAATGGAGGGAGTTCATGAATTTAAGAAGAGATATGAATGGTGAATACAATTGCAAAAGAATATGAATAAACTCATGGATGCAAAATTAGCATCCATGTCTGGTGTTCTTTTCAGAATACTAAAAATAATGGCATCCTAGCACCAAGCATTTGCTATGCACCCAAGATTTTGTGTCCATTAGTACTGAGTCCAACACTCCAATGAGTCATTGTTGTCATCATTTTACAGATTGTACTCTAACAGGAGGAGAGGTTAAGTAGTAACTTGCCAAGATCACACAGCTGGTAAAATGGCAGATACAGGAGGCAAAGTTATCTGGCCTGCAGGACACGAGTTCTTTACAACTGCCTTCTTAGTCTCTGGATGTGGTTTGGGGAATGATAGATTGTACAGACTGACATTTCTAGTGTTTCTAGAGTCTTGTGATAGTTCTTGTATGTTTTATACCATGTCAGAATTCTTTATCTTCTGCCCCCAACAGGAGTGAAAAAAATTGTTTAAAGAATTAGAGCCATCAGGAAAAACATATTTTCATACATTGCCTTTTATGTCATTGCTTCTCATCGGGAATCAAAAGTCCCTGCCTGATCCTGCAGCCCATTCAACGTGCCCTTCCTCCTTCTTTGTACCACAGCTGGTTTTTGCATGGGTCTCTCTCCCTTTAGGGAAGAAGCCCTTTACTCCTATGCCATATGTACCTATGACTCTCCTCAAGCAATTTGCACTTGGTAGATGTCAGTAAATAAAATTTCTATTCCATGGTAAAAGGATTGATGTTTGGGAGCACTGTTTCTGTGTCAAAAGAAGACATGCTACACAATGAAAGCAAAGACTATGATGATGTTCCAAAGACATCCCACCATGTTATTTTGGTTATTTAGTGGCACCTCACCCAATCACCAGATGGGTAGGAAGATTCCCAAGCCTTTATTGCTAATTAGTGTAGCCTAAAGGTGCACCGAATTCTCCTTCACCTTTTGGCCCACGCTCTCACTCTGAGTGGTCTGAGATGTAAAAATTTCCAACAAAATGCCTTGAATTCCCAAGATTTATGTTCTTGTAGTAGCTTCTGGTTCTGAATTCCTACCCTGACCTAATTTCACTGCCTCTCTCCGCCACAGCTACTCCATGTCCCCCTTTCTCTGTCCCCTGCCACCTGGACATCCATCAGTCTTACCCCCAGCTGTTTAACAAACCAGCTCTCGTGAGTCTGCTGACATTGCCACATGTGTGCATCAACAGTGACCTTTTACACTGCACAGAAAATATGCAACTGAACGAAATGAAAAATGGATATTATCCCCATCGTTAAAATCTTGTTCCAGATATAGATGTGCCAAAAAATTTGCAGCTGTGTTTTAAAACTGCCACATGGGGTCACCCTTCCTCTTATTAAACCATCTATCATTTCAACCAGAGGCAATGTATTAATTCTAACTCAAAGCAGACTTGCAAGAAGGAAAATGTTGTGTCACTCAACAAGGATGAGTTTCATTTTGTATTTTCTTTTTCCCTCACGACTCACCTGTCAGTGCTCATCCAAAAAGAGGAAGCTGAGAGCTGGTGCTTTACTGCACAGGAGACAATATACATCTATGTAGAACTGTTTCTTTGGGGGTAAAGTTATCTTTTCTGCAATTAGAGAAGACAATGATGCCATATGAAATTTGAGAGCACTGGCCTATACCCACTTATTTACTAGTCATTGTGAATGTGTGAAAAGGGTTACTCTGATGACTGGCAAACATAAAGAGGACAGCCAATTGTGCTTTGACCTGTTCTCCCCCTAAGGGACAGCTGTGGGGACTGCTGCAACATTCATTGGTGAGTGCAAAAGGAACTGGAGCAGCACCCTTCAAGTTATTGGGTGGCTCTTCTAGCCAGCTTGATGGTGGAAGGTGGAAATTTTCAAATTCCTCCCCCTGAGCAGGGGCTGGTTGGAAGTAGGGGTGAAGCTGAGACTTTTGGCAGTTAAGCTGCTAAGTCTCTTGGCCAGTTAAAACTGCTGAAGGTGGGCTCTCCCTGGTGGTGCAGCAGGTTAAAGCACAACACTAAAAAGCTAAAGCCACTTCAGCATGAGTTCAATCCCCACTCTGGAAATGATCCACATGGCGTGGCAGACCTCTCCTGACCCACCCACTGCTCTGCTTAGCGGTGTACTTAGTTGATCTGCCTGTTCTGCTCCCCACTCTGTATCTCAGGTGAATCCTCTCACCACCCCTGCACCTCTGGCCTGTACCCCAGTTCTGTATAAATAAATAAATAAATATTTTTAAATATATATTTATTTTTAAAAAGTTGCTGGGGCTTTGGACAGTTATGCTGCTGGGACTTTAGCAGTTGAGTTGTTGGATTTGTGCCAAATAAACCACTGGTGAGGAGGGGTGTCTGTGGAAAAGTCACAACTGAGCAAATATAGTTTTGGTTGAAGCTTTGT